CCCCCGCCCATCCCCCTCCGCCACCACGCGCACGCATCCACGTACGCTGCTCGGCAACCAGAGGCTCCACCCTCTGCTCCCGTTCGGTTGTGCTTATTGGACCGAAGAGTCCCAGCGCTTGGCTCTCGGTTCGCGTTCCGGTTGGTTTCCTTTGCCATAGGCGTCAACCAAAGAGGCATTCGATTGGATAACTTGAGGAGAGAGGCAGGCCGAAACTGACGAAGGCGGGGCCTCTTGGCCGCTTGACGAAATGTCGTGAATGAAAGGAAGGATCCCAGAGAGGCACAGATTTGGGGAGTTTAGGAAAGTGCCTGACATGGATTATCGAGAGGACCCACGATTTTATATTTATATCGAATGTCAAGATATCTGATCGCCTTTAAACTTCCGTATGCCCTTGTGTAGTCCCTCTCTGCAGACTAAGAGATTTGATGGCAGCCGCCCTTTAGCCTTTTAGATCAGGCTCTGGAGCGGACTCCCCTAGTCGAGGGGTCCTCTGGGCAGTCAGAGACCAACGGAAAATGGTAGCGATGGCGGCTGGGCCGGGCGACTGGCTTGGGCCGGCGTTTGGGCTGCGGTTGCTGTTGGCGTCTGTGCTTCACGCGGTGAGTGGAGATCACCTCCACGGCAGCCCCAGAGCGAGAGGGAGGGACTGCTCTGAGGAAGACGGAGCACTCTGTTCCTTTGGGAGCCACACTTGAAAAGGGTGGAAGGACCGGGCTCCCTTAGCCACTGCTGCGGCCGGAATGCGACGTGGCTTATTTCCTGGTTTGATGCTTATCCTTCCCTGCCCGGGTTTCTCACAGTTCTTTCTCCTGGCTTCAGACTCTCTTGAGTACTTCTCTTCTCTTGCAGAGCTCAAGCTAAAGACATCTATAAATCACGCGGTGGGAGAAAAAGGCAATACATTTTGGACAGGAATGAAAACTGCTTTTCAATGGGCAGAAATAAACCGCTCTTTATGACAAGGTTCACAGATCTTAAAGAAAAGCCCTCATGTCTTTCGTCCAGGGCACACTTGCTATTTACTTCTTTCTCTCAGTTGTTAGTGGTCTCCTTAATTCACTGTTAGACAGCCTTTATCCTCCGTTCTCTGGCGTTCACGTACCGCTGGGTGCACTTCAGTGTTTGTGGTTTTAAACAACATTGTTGCAATAAAAGGAGCTACCTAATACTAAAGCATAACTTACTTTTGAAATTGAGTTTCTAAAACAATAGCCGTCATCGCATTTAAAATCAGGCACTGTTAACCAGGTTTTTTTATTTCGTTTTTCTCCAGTAACAGCAGGTGTTTTCTTAATCTTTGAATGGGGAAAAACTAATTTTGACTTATTTTCCTATTCACTCATGAACAATTTAATATTGGTTAATTCCTCCCAAGAAATTTGTGATCCATGTTTTACTATGTGAATAATAAAACTTTTTAAATAGGCACTGTGCTGGGATCTTGTACAGGCTTCTTTTATCAGCTTAATTCTTCAGGTGTTCTCTTTACTGAGCCTGCTGAAAAGTATTCTAGGAGACCTGGTTAATAATTGATTTATGCAAGGTTTGGGGAAGTTAGGGCTAATACGAAGGCCTCTTTAAACACCCCTGCTTTTCTTTCATCAAGGAGTTTGAAGATCCTGCCTGATTGCTTTTGCAGCCACACCTAAGAGGTGAATTCCTCTCTAGTTAACATTACTGTACATCATTTTTCAGGTAGTGTGTGCCTTAGAAATAACTGGAAGACCCCTCACTAAACTTTCCATTCAAAATTTTTTTTGCAAGTGTTAGATAATTTGAGTTCACCACTATGCAAAGACAAAAAGGAATAACATTTCAAGTTGCCGTCTCCTGGTTTCCTTATTTCTTTGTTTTATTATCTATGGCAGTATAACCACCCCAAAACTTAGCAGCTTAAAATAATGATATCTCATAATTCTGTGGGTCTGCTGAGCAGTTCCTCTTCATTTCTGCTGGCCTCATTTATGCAGCTGTGTAGAGCTAGTAGGTCAGCTGGACTGAAAGGTTCAAGATGGCCTCACTTTTAGTTGATGCTGACTGTCAGCTGGGCAACTTGGTTCTCCTCGACGTATGTGACCTCTCATCCTGCAATAAGCCAAGCCAACTTTTTTTGCATGGTATTCTCAGAGCAGCACTCCTGAAGAGCAAGAGCTGCAATGCCTCCTAAAGCCTAGCCTTAGAAATCACATATATCACTTACACCTCACACAGTATTTGTCAAAGCAAGTCACAAGACTAGTGTAGATTTCAAGGGTGGGGAAATAGACTCCATCTCTGCATGGGAGGAGAGAGATAGCTACATTGCAAAGAAGTGTACATACCAGGATAAAGGGAATTTATGGCCATTAAACAATCTACCACGGTGACCACAGAATTTAAGCCAGAAACTTGAGTGTTACCTTTGACCCCTTTCCATGCATACCTCACATCTAGGCAATTACCAAGTCTTACTGATTTTACTTAAGCCAAATTTTTCTCAAATCCACCTACTTATTGTTAATCACTCTTCAGGCCACCAACCTCTCCCTCCTTAGAAATAACAGCCTCCTGGTTCACCCTTTGAATTATCAGAGTCTACATGGTTGACTTGGTCAGCTTCCCAATTGCCTAAGCCAGAAGTTACTCATTTTAAATTCTTCGCTTTGTCTCTCACTCTCCGAATCCAATTAGTCATCAAACCCTTAAAAATCTCCAAGCCAGTCCATTTAATCTTGTCTCCACTTAGGTAGTACCCATATTCAAGCCACCATCTTTGCTTGCCTAGAATGACCACACCAGCTCCCTTAACTGGTCTCCCCATCTCTTTTTTTTTCCTTTTTAATCCAGTCTCTACAATGCATCCAAAGTCACCTTTCTAAAACTCAAATCTGTTATTAAAACTCTTCAATGCTTTCTGTTGCTTTTAAAGTGAAGTCTGTCCTCCACGTTCCTTAGCAAGGCCTTTTTGACCTGATACTTGTTTGTCTTCCCAGGCTTAATTCCCAGTGCTTACCTCTACTGGGAGAGCAAAAATGTAGAGGTGGAGAGTTGGGGTCACTTGCTTTAGTATGTTCCACATACCATATTCTTTACCAGGCCTAAAATAAGGTTTTTGGATAAAATACAGGACTCAACATCCCATTTACAGATTCACAAAATCAAATATACTGCACTCTCCCTTGCATACTCTATCATCATACTTTGTGCTGTGTTACACAAATCTCCAATCTTAACCACCCCATAGCTCTGTGGATGTATTTGTATCCCTGCACTCTCCTTGCTCCCATGCCAATTAGAATATAGCCAGAGGGAATACAAGGACCATTTTTCTTTCATATATTATATTGTGTCTTACATGTATTTGTTCATTTACATCCCTTTGAGGTGTGAATAGCCTCCTAGCTTATTTGTGTTTGTTCCTTGTTATTAAAGCCATCAGCATATCTGTAGTTTTGTAGAGTGGTGAGTAGATAATGAACCCCACTCACTCCTACAAATACAAAACAACTCTAAAAATAGGGAGTCCTGAGCAATTCACTCTTGAACTGTTTTAACTTACCCACAGTTTATTCCTGTCTCTTCTGTAAAGACTAGTGTTTTTAAGAAAAGAAGGCAATAAAATCCTTGAAAATGAAGAGGTGTGTGTGTGTGGAGGATTGTTGAAAAAACACTTAGAAGCTAGAAAAACTGCATTTCACAGCCTGGGGGGGAGAGGGAAGCCAGGTAGAATAACTACAATAGTTGGTGGTAATAAAAATAACACAAATCTTTGGAACCTGACAGATGAATAAAAAGAGAGAGTAAGAGAATGTCTTGGCTCCTTGAGGTTGAGCTACTGGTGTGAATAGAGAACTTAGCTCCTACTTTAATTGAGTCCTTAGACTACACAAGTTGAGTTTTTATCACTGTCTGTGCCTCTGAATAGCTCTAATTTAAAGTTAATAGCAATTCAGAGTTATCAGCATTCCAATGAGGTGACAACTGGGAGGATATAAAGTGATTTAATTTGAAAATACATTCTGAGTATGATTAAGCGTTAGAAAAGTAATATTTTAGTATGGCCAAAGGGAGCTGTTTTATAGAGCGCCCCAGAACTAAGTGATATTCAGTTCTTCATTCAGAAAGGCGCAGTACTGAAAGCAGTAGATGATACTGCGTATCACTGATTCTGAGACCGCCCCGCAACACCATTTTGTTCACAGGTTAACGTCTGTATCAGTCATATTTCAATGAGTGGCACAATTATAATTGTCCACATATTTGGTATTTTTAATAGTACATACAATAATGGAACATCATGGATTCTGTGAGACATGGTTGTTATTAAAAGTGGTTTTGCTGGCAGACCAGAATTAGAATCTTGATGCTGCCACCTATGCTGTGTTGTCTTAGATAAATTACATTAACTATCCTAAGCCTCTGTTTACTTCTCTATGAAATGGGGATAATAACCTTCTTCATAGAGTAGTTAAGATTAAATGAAACAATGATTGAAGTGCGTAGCAACATACATGCTACTTTGTAAGAGCTTGATGTAATGGCCATGTTTCTTGTATTCATTTTTTATGGGGTTCATCTGTAAATCCATCTATTTACTTTTGTCTCAGACTTGAAATCTGTTCAAAATTACATGAGAAATGTATGATTTCTGAGAGTAAAGACCAATGAAGAGAGAACTAACCATATGTAGGTATAAATATAATAAAATGTATAGCTATATGAAAAGATAATGTTACAATACAGTTAATCCGTTTTCCCTGTCAAAACCCTCATCCACAAGGAGCTCAATAACACCAGAAAAATAAATCAGAATAATGCATGCAGGAGAGAATGGAGTCTCTTAGCTTGTCCGTCTTACTTTGAATCGGGGAAAGTTAAGCTGTTAAATAGTTATCCCAATCAGGGTTAACCCCCTGTCCTTAGAATCCGTGTCTTTCTGAGAAGTATGGTTACTTATTTTAAAATTTAATATTTGACCTTAGTATGCACATTTAAACACTGTTCAGTTGCTTTTGGTAATAAAAAGATGGGCAGGCATAGTTATAATTTTGAACTCTTCTATATTATTTACCATTTAGTATTTTATCTGTGAAGTGCCTTAAAATATATTCTGATGTCCTTGGATTCAAAACCTTGCATCTGCCAAACAAATAATACAAAGACTACAAAAAAAAAAAAATAGTTCACTAATGAAACTCAAGATACCTGTATCTCCCATACACTTATCCTCTGTCCCATGTCTAATACAATGATTAAAATATAAGTAGTGTTTTGTAATTTTTAAGTGTACTTTCACTGTGGAGCTAGGAATAATGCTAACATTTATTAAGTACCCACTCTGTGCTCAGTAGGATACTAGATGCTTTCTGTGCTTTTTCTCCTTTAGTCTTCAGAACTCTGAGATAAGTGGTAATTGATTCCTATTCAGAAACTCAAGAGTAAGGTTGCTCTGTATACTGGCATTTGAATCAGACTCCAGAATATATGTTTTGCATATTCATGCCATCTGTCAGTAGGTGCTTAATAATTGCCAGAATAAAACCAAGTGGTACAATCGCATGATTATTCATTGGAGATTCTTGTTTTTAAAACATGCTTTGGTAACAATTTCTTATATTTGTTACACAGTTCACAGTTTCACAGTGATTTCACTTTTATTACCTGTTTTAGTTAACATGGCTACAAGACAAAGCACTCTAAAATTTAGTGGTGTGAAACAGTTGTTTACTTTGCTTTCAGATTCTGTGGGTCAGCAGTTCAGACAGGGCACAGCAGGATTGGCGTGTGTGTGTTCCGTAGTATCTCCCACCTCAGCTGAAAGACTGGAGCCTAAAATGTGAAGGCTCTTTACTCCATGTCTAGTAGTTGATGCTGGTTGTCAGTTGGGGGCCTCAATTGCTCTCTACATGGGTCTCTTCATGTTGGCTGTCTAGTCTAAGCTACCTTATAATACGATGGCTAAGTTCCAAAGTTGAGTGTTTTGAGAGAGACCGAGACACAAGAGTACGTGCGAGCACTAGCCAAGCAGAGGCTGTTTCCTGTTTTATGACCTACCCTTGGAAATCACATAATATTCCTTCCTTTACACTCTGTTGGTCAGAGCAGTCACAAGCTCCTGCCCAGATTCAAGGGGAGGGAACATAGATCCTAACTTCTCAGTGGAGGACTTCTAGTCACATTGTAAGAAAAACATGTGGGATGATGTGTATATATTGGTGTGACATCTTTGGAAACTACAAATTATCCTGTAAGATAGATCAAGCAGGTCACTTTATTAGTGAAGAAATTACTCAAAGTACTAGTACAGTAGCTAATGTCTTAGGTCCTTCGCACTTGACTGGGATACTTTGGTCTATTTTGAAGATCGTATACACTCCACATTATTACTGAGATAGCGTAAAAGATGTATAAGGTATTAAATTAGAGTGTTGACTAACATAAGACCAATGGGATGATCAGCATTTTGGAGGAGTATGCCAGCAATACTTAAAGTTTTGTTGTTTTTTTTACATTGGGAAATGCCATTGGGTTTTAATCTGCCTGGTTAGTCAGCGGTTCTCAACCTTCCTAATGCCGCGACCCCTGAATACAGTTCCTCATGTTGTGGTGACCCCCAACCATAAAATTATTTTCGTTGCTACTCTATAACTGTAATTTTGCTACTGTTATGAATCATAATGTAAATATCTTTTTGTTTTCCGATGGTCTTAGGTGACCCCTGTGAAAGGGTCATTCGACCCCCAAAGGGGTCGCGACTCACAGGTTGAGAACCGCTGGTCTAGAAGAAGGTTGACAAACTACAGTTGGTGGGCCAAATCCAGCCAGCCCTGTTTTTGTAAATGAAGTTTAATTAGAACACAGACACCCATTCATTTATTGTCTACAATTGCGTTTACGCTGCAATAGCAGAGGTGAGTAGTTGCAATAGAAATCATAGCCACCAAAGGCTAACATAATTACTATCTGGCCCTTTATATATAAAGTTTGCAGACATTTGGTTTAGGAGATCAACCAATTGGAGTCAAACAATCTGAAAGCCCCACTACTTGACCAATTCATTTGCTCAATACACGTGAGAACTCACACAGTGCTGGAAATACAGAGAAATAACCTAATGCTTATTTACTCCCAAGAGTTTACAGTATTGTTAGGGAATCAGACAAGCCTAGATTTAAATAGTACAGTGTTGTGAGTATTATTATTTTATAGCTATGCACAAATTTCTCAGGAAAGTACTATGGATAAAGATTGGGATCTGGTTTGTTTTTTTTTCCAGAAAAGACTTCCTAAAAAACTGAAACTAATCAGATTCTTGGAAATAAGTAGGCATTAACAAAGTGGAAAAAAAGCCTTATATGCAGAAAAAATGTGAGCAAATCTATGTTTGAGTAGGAATTTTATACTTCCTATTGTAGGTACAATAGGAATTCGTTATAGCTGAAAAGTAGTGTGGGATTGGATAAGTAATGAGAAGTAGGACCATCAGTGACCATTTAAGCCTCTGAGGCAGGAAAAGATTTGAGAGCTCTGTAAGAGACAGAATGATCAAACTTGTTAATTAATTGGTTTTAAGTAAGAATGGTAAAAACTGAATGACTGACCTAGGCAACTAGGTGGTCAGGGAATGTGGTACCATTTTACTAAGATATTGAATACTCTGGGGAAGAATATGTTTCAGGAGAAAAGGTAAGTTTCACTGTTGGAGATTTTGAATTTGCAATGCCTATGCAACATCTAAATGATGGCTTTGGAAGCATGACATTCAAGAAAAAGACTTGGGAGTTTTCAGTAAATCAATATTTGAAGTCATGGAAAAGATGCAATAGTCTGTGAAAATATCTAAAGCAAAGAAAGAGCCAAAAATAGAAATGGGAAACAACAACATTTAAGAGACGCACAGAAGAGGAAGAAGGACAGGCTCCTGGAAGGAGCAGCTGGAGCAGAACGGTTTTGAGCGCCTTCACATTTAGTGATTTTTGGCAAGTTCAGTCAAGTAGTAGGATCAGAAACAGACTAGAGGAACTTAGAAATGATGGAACGTTGGAAGAACAATTAGAACCATAGGGCTTGAATACACTGAAGGATGAGTGATCCCTCAAATTAAGTCCCTGTGAAGGTGGCAGAAGCTAGAATCCAAGGCACAGGTAGAGGGATTGAACTAGACAGGTGAAGGTATACCACATTCGCTGAGACATGAGAGAAGAATGGGTGAGGAGAGAGGACTCATATTTTTGAAAGCCTGTTTTTGCCAGTCATTCTGATTGATTACATAAGTCATTTTATTTAATCTTTACTGCAGTGTATTTTATGTAGGAAGTATTGCTCCTTGCTTTATCAGTGAGGAACTTAACACTTAGGGAGGTTATCTTGGCCAGTGTTACACATCTTGTAAGTCAGTGATGAGGCTAGTACCTAAATCCCGAAGTTTTCTTTCTGATGTGCTCCTGTTCTCCCCAGCTCCAACCCTTTCCAAACCCTTCCCCTGCTACATGTGAATAAAATCTGTAAGGTGTAGTGGAAACCTAGAAATTAATGTTACTCTATACACCCATGTAAACAGATGCTAAGTTCTAAAAATGAAATCGGAATTTGCTTTTCTTCTAAGGAAATTCTTTTTTTAAAACTATAGAATGTTTAATAAAAGATGTATATAATATACATATCTAAAGAAATAATACATCCTTTTTGTTACTCTATATTGTAGCTAAACTGAAAGATAACACATCTTTAAGAAAAAATTTATGGGGGAAATGGGAAAATCCAAAGACTCATTCATATAAAGTTATAGAGTATTTCATCTCCAGTGTGTTAGATTTTGACAACTCTGGTTCCTCCTATTTGGAAGCTTTATAATGTTTAATTTTTCATTTTTTATTTTCAGGTGTCGGTGATTGGGGCAGAGTTTTCATCCGAGGCTTGCAGAGAGTTAGGCTTCTCCAGCAACTTGCTCTGCAGCTCCTGTGATCTTCTTGGACAGTTCAACCTGCTTCAGCTGGATCCAGACTGTAAAGGATGCTGTCAGGAAGAAGCACAATTTGAAACCAAAAAGGTGATGTTTTCTAGTATCTCTCTCCCAGTAGATGGTTTAGTTGACATAAGGTAAAATATCAAATTGCTTAATCCGCTTAAATAAAAAGAAGTCTCTATCTTTTACATTTTGTAGTTTTAGAAACTAAACTAATTTCTTGCCTGGCCCATGCGATGAGTCAAAGCAAATAGGAGGGAAAAGGACAGTTACATACCAGGACCCGTTTTACCATGGCTGTTCATCACAAGGGGAGCAGAATTACCCTCGCGGGCTTGTATCTTTTTTTTTTTCTTTTTTTTTAAGATTTTTATTGGGGAATTGGGGGATGGGAACAGACAAGTTGCTATCCTTTTGTTCTTCAGTCTAGTTGTGGAGAACGTTGCTTCATTGGCCCAAGTTGTTACCATCATTGTGCTCTTCCCGGGTGAGGCAGATCAGTCGCCGGCTTATGGACAGCCGCTCACTGCGGCTGCTGGCCGCTCACGCTGGCTGCTGGCCACACACGATAGCCCATGGCAACCCACTGCCACAGGGGCTGCAGCCTACGCCGTCGCTGGCGACTCATGGCAGCCCAGCTCCAGGTTGAGCTGTTGTTCAGCATCTTAGCTGTAGAGGGCAGTGTCACTGGCCCTCATATGTGGGATCTGAACCGGGGCCCTCTGGCATCCCAAGCCAGTTCTTAACCATCGCGCCCCTTGGCCGGCCCTCGTGGTCTTGTATCTTAAAGCTCTCCAGTCTTCTGAAATTATGGCCACATGTACTCAAAGAAAAATTAAGTAGATGTTTTTACTTATTTATAAGAACCCAGTCTTATAATGAAATTTAGAATAAAAATAAAGCACCTGGCACATAATTATAGACATAAATTATAACTTTTAATCTGGTTAATCAAGAATATGGTCTTCTAATTTACACACCTGTTACTAATATTTCCAGGCACCTAACCTGACCTTTAACACCTGAAAAAGCCAAGGCGAAGTAGCTCCAATTGTGGAATAAAATCCACTATGTTTTGACCCACTGTTCAAATTAACAGTAAACTTGCTTAATTTTTAAATTTTTTCTTTAAATCTTTAAAGCCCTTAGACTTCTTTAAATTATAAAGTAGCCAGAAAAAACATATACATTATCCAAATAAAGTTGAATTAGTGAGATTTCTGTATTTGGGGTGAGAAAAAAGTGGTAGCTTCTCTTTCTATGTTTCCTTTTAATATGCTTTCACTTGTACACATTGAATTCTATTTGAGATATTATGGTTTGTAAAGCTTTCAAACAGTAATTGTATCTTCTTATTATTAGTTAGTAAAAGTTTATTTTTAACATTGAGTACAGTTTTATAGTTCTAAAACAAAAACAAGCAGACAAGCTTTAAAAATGTTAGTATTCAACCAAAAATTTAATACTTGATTTCTCAGTTGTGAACCTAAAATTTCCAGTGTCCCAAAATTGACTTCCAAGTCTTTCATGTTTTTCATTTTCTCTATTCACACATACCAATAATATGTTTTGTTTGTTTTTTTAAATATTTTTTTATTGGGGAATTGGGGGAAGGGGAACAGACAAGTTGCTATCCTTTTGTTCTTCAGTCTAGTTGTGGAGGACGTTGCTTCACTGGCCCAAGTTGGCACCATTATTGTGCTCTTCCCTGGCGAGGCAGATCAGTTGCCGGCTTCTGGACAGCCGCTCACAGCGGCTGCTGGCCGCTCACGCTGGCTGCTGGCTACACACGATAGCCCATGGCAACCCACCTGCCTTTGCCAGCGACTCATGGCAGCCCAGCTCCAGGTTGATCTGTTGTTCAGCATCTTAGCTGTAGAGGGCAGTGTCACTGGCCCTCATATGTGGGATCTGAACCGGGGCCCTCTGGCGTCCCAATCCAGCTCTTAACCAACTGAGCCACTCGGCCGGCCCCCAATAATATGTTTTAATGTTTGGAAGATTTCCATACATGAAAGTTAATCTTTTATGTCTATAATGAAATCTAAATTTTTAAAACTTGATTTTAAATAGATTTAAGATATAAGACTTAGGGGCCAGCCGAATGGCGCGAATGGCAGCTACTGGCTGGGGACGCCAGAGGGCCCCGGTTCGGATCCCACATATGAGGGCCAGTGACACTGCCCTCTACAGCTAAGATGCTGAACAACAGCTCAACCTGGAGCTGGGCTGCCGTGAGTCGCCTGCGATGGCGTAGGCTGCAGCCCCTGTAGCAGTGGGTTGCCGTGGGTTACTGTATGTAGCCAGCAGCCAGCATGAGCGGCCAGCAGCTGCAGTGAGCGGCCATCCAGAAGCCGGCGTCTGATCTGCCTCACCCGGGAAGAGTGCAATGATGGTGCCAACTTGGGCCAGTGAAGCAACGTCCTCCACAACTAGACTGAAGAACAAAACGACAGCAACTTGTCTGTTCCCCTTCCCCAATTTCCCAGCGCTGTTCCCATACCCCCAATTCCCTAATAAAAATCTTTAAAAAAAAAAAAAAAGATATAAGACTTAACTAGTTTAGTAGGACCCTTCCCCTTGTTTTGATTTTTGGGGGGAGTTATTTTTGTTTTGTTTTTTGTTTTTCTGTTTTGTTTTGTTTTTAGATTTTATTGGGGAATTGGGGAAAGGGAACAGACCAGTTGCTGTCCTTTGGTTCTTCAGTCTAGTTGTGGAGGATGTCGCTTCATTGGCCCATGTTGGTATTGTGATCATTGTGCTCCTCCCGGGTGAGGCAGTCGCTCGCCTGACATTGGACTGCAGCTCATGGCTGCTCACAGCAGCTCACACCGGCAGCTGGCTGCTCATAGTAGCTTACGGCAGCCTATGTTGTCGCCGGCGACTCATGGCAGCCCAGCTCCAGGTCGAGCTGTTGTTCACCATCTTAGCTGTAGAGGGTGCAGCGTCACTGGTCCATGTGGGATCTGAACCGGCAGCCCTGCTGCTCAGAGTTCTTGTTCCCAAGCCAACTCTTAACCAGTGAGCCACTTGGCCGGCCCAGTGTTTGTTTGTTTTTTGATGAGATAGTCAAATATGATAAATTGCTGAAGAAATCTGTATGAGTCATCCTCTCATCTTTAAACTATTATTCTATGGTCCATACGTACACTACTCGACCAACAATTGTTATTTCCCGAGACACCAAATTTCAAGAATGAAATAACAAGGGGTGTTTTATAATAAACAATCTTTATCACACACCTTCCCTTATAATTAAGGGCAAGTTGAGGGGTTCTACTCTTTGACTGAAATTGAATGTGCCTAAACTGTAAACCAAGAGTGTATTTTTATTTATTGCCCTTTCTCAGTAATCCTTCATAATACATCAGTTTGATGGTATAATATTAGTGGAACGAAACTTGGATCACACACTTTTCAAGTAATTATATTCCTGTTCAATTTTTATTATTAAAAATTTGTGTTTGGTATCTTGACACCTTTTAGTAGTTGCAGCTCAGCAGTGACAGGTAGGTTAGGTAAGTAGTCTGCCAGTTAATATATGCCTAACTAATTACAAGCTGAAATAATTATTTTATCTAAGTACAGGTGACCCTGTATCCTAATACACCTTTTATTATGCTATATCCATAGTTTTTTTTTCTTTACTCATAGCTCCTAATCTCTAAGATGTACTTACTTCTCGTTAAGCATTTACTAGCACACTGTTGCACAAAATCAATGAATGGTTTTCCTTAATAAGCCTAGTGGAACCAAAACAGCAAAAACACTTAGAAATATTACTGGAAATAGAAAAGTATGGTATGCTGGACAAGCCTCCCCTTAGATGCAAACCACATCCAAGTATAGAAGTATAGGGTACTGCTCTCTGGATTATTGCTACATGATCATAGGTAGCAACAGTATATACAACATATTTTACTATCTCCCTCAACTCTGGTTTAAGGCTCAATTTTGAAATCACAGTTTAATTTAGTCCTAGTTTAATAGAAGTAAAAATCTGCAGTCTATAGGCGCCTTAAATAAAAAACATTAAAAATACTTAAACATGGACATGTATGTGTAAACCATTATGAATATAAATTCTTTAGAAGAAAAAGAAAATTGTAGTTTATATACAGGAATGTTTTAGCAATTTATATATAATAAAGAAATGTTTTCAGAATACTTATTTTAATCCTTGCTTAGTTGCATGCTTTAGGGGTCCATCCCGGCATGAGGCTAATCATTGTTAGGAATGCTTACTGGTTTAACAGGCTGAATTTAGCCTTTAATAGCCAGAAGCATAAAATTTGCTTTAAAAACATTTTTTTTCACAATAAAAGCAGAAAATATCTTTGAAATCCTTTCTCATTCTCCAAATAGATATTCCTTTATTCTTTTTATTTGCTCTTATTTTTTCCCCATTTTGATCATAAAGGACCTACTAAGCATCACAAATACTACCTAGGATGAGATTTTTTTGGTAAGTTATTTTACTACTGCTCCCACTGGTTTTGTTCATAGCTATGTACCGAAGTAAAGTTTACAAACATCAGTAAGGATGTTGACTTAATTGTGAAGAGCATACTTATTTGTAGAGAAAAAAAAATTGTAATCTTGGTGCTATTTTTATAAAGTTAGTATTACTAAGTTGCATAGTGACTTTGGCTTTAAACAATTAGAATCTTAAGACAGAGGGAAGAGACCATTCTTCCTTTTGCTACTGACTTGCTTTTTCCTTATGGTGGGAAAAGATAGTAACTGCCATTTCCTGAGTGTTGTATCTTATAGCTTTTCCCATCAGAAAAGGACTGATTCTTCCTCATTCACATTTTTGAAATATTTTAGACAAGGATTGAGTCACTAACCAATTGTTAGCTCGGACTATGGAATAATGTAAGAACCATTAGCTACCATAGTAGCTATGTGGAATGTTTCATCAGGGAGCAGACAGATGAAGCCATTCTAAGGTAAAGAGCAGGTTAGGTACTAGGTAAGCAATGCCGTTGATATCTGTTACATTTTCTTCCTCAGTTACTAGAGTAAACCACTTCTACTTGAGCTGTTTTTAACGATTTAGCTCAAGGGTCCCCTCTTCTGGG